TTAGACGCAGATAACAGTCCTTGCCTAGGTGCGCTCTGTTGAATGAGACTATCTCTGGTGCTGGGAACCTTGTAGAAATAGGTCCGTCGGCGGAGCCTCCCCTCCAGCGGCCCTCCGCGGCGCGCCACAGCACGCCACAGCGTGGACAAGTCGGCGTCGGACTAAGTGGAGTAGTGGTCTCTACACTTATGTTGAAAGTGAGATTCAACTCCTCCAACTTATTTCTGCCATGACTTTCAACGAGTCCTCCCACCGTCGCTGCATCGGCGTGCCGCTCGCGGTCTCCTCATCGGAAAACCAACGGAAGGTATTGTCTGTGTGTCTGGAGTGGCGACACGATTCTGGGGGTGGCCAGGCCGGGGCCCGGGTGTCCTGGACAGTCGAGCGATTCAGAACGAGTCGTCGCTTGGTCTCCGTCGCACTCGTGGGGTCTCCATAAGAGTGCGAGAGAGACAGAACGGTCCTCTGAATGCTCGGCAGGGCTGGAGTGCGTGTAGAAAGGGGTGGCCACTCACCCAGAATGACCAGCGGTCATCCATCCTGCGAGGCACGCCGCCCCGGCGCGGCCCCGGCCGGCAGTAACTCATGCCAGGGCGCGCTTCGATCGCCCCAGCATAATCTCACATAATGCGCCCTTTTTCTTGATTCTTTTTGCGCCGCCGCGTCTCGCTCTCGCGTCTTGATCCCCCAATTACTGGCGGCAGAGACACCGCGCTCTGTCTCTCTCGCACTCACAGAAAGTTCCGCAGGGGTGCGAGAGAGACAGAGCGCCGCGTGCCAATTACGGCATCATCCCCGGCGGCCCCACCGGGACGCGGCGCCGCGCCGTGACGAGCCGAGCCATTTTTCCACCGCTTATCGACGCTCGTTTGGCCGAGAGAGAGAGAGAGAGAGAGAGAGAGAGAGAGAGAGAGAGAGAGAGAGAGGAGAGAGAGAGGGGGGGAAGCGGGTACGAGTAGGCTGCCGCAGGGGCGGAAGGGTTGGAGTTTGTCGCGATCGGTTCTCGGGGGACGCGAATTAGGCAGTGGGGTGGGGCGGGGCGGCAACCCTCGGCCGGCGAGAGTGTAGGGCCGGAAAGAGTTGGCCCCGTCTCCACGACACCGCGCCTAATTCCATAAACACAGCCCGTTGGCCACAGCCCCAACCCCGGCGGCGGCGCTCCGTCGCTCCGTCTCTCTCGCACCCCCGCGGGACTCGCCCCTCGAGTGCGAGCGAGACGGTGGCCAAGGAGTCGCAGTGGCACAAGTTCAGGGAAGAAACACGCCATAACTCAAAATCTTCGCGCACGCTCACCCCATAAATTTCTCATGCATGAAAGATTTGCGCGGAAAATATGGGTGTGTGTAATGCATCGGGCGGAGATTTACTGCCAGGGGCATTTATTCAAAATATGTTGTTCGGCGGGGCCGCGCGTCTTTCCGACTTCCGCCGCTTCGTTTCTTGCGACGAGGACCGCCGCAGGTTTTTGCTAAGAGGGAGGGGACGGCACGGGGCTGAGGTGTTGCGGCGCCAGCAGTCCACGCGGCAGACGCGATCCTGTAAACTGTTGTTGAACGAATAAATTTTGATAACCTGCCTTACTAGTGTTCTATATTTGCCTACCTGTCCTTGACACCTCCATTTTCAAGCACTGCACGTTCAATGGCGCCAGCCACGGCCGACGGCGGCTTCACAATGAACCTCCCCGCTCCCTCAAGCGAGCGAATTTTGGAGCAGAACACGAAATCGGAGACATCAATCCGGGCAGTTCATCCCGCAATTACACAGTGGGGCGGACGGACGGCCGCGCAAACGGCAAGGCTTAGGTAAGAGGAATGGACCGGGAGATATATGACGGCGCTCGCCCCGCCCCGCCCCGCCCCGCCGCGCCGCAGGCTAGTCCAGCCCCAAAGCCGGAGCTATTAACACACCCTTTGGGGCTGGTCACCTCGCTAAACCCGCCGCGGATCGGCTGCAGGATAAACAAATGAGCGTCTTAGCGCGGTCACTGTCGGTCACTTGGCGACCGCCGGGCCCGGAGCGAGAACGCACCCGGCACGGTCAAGCCGTCCGAGAGGAGCTCGCGCCCTGATTAAACGCGGCAGTCACGGGTTCGAACCCCCGTGCCGGCGGCAGCTTTTCGGATTAGAGTGGCACAATCACACTCATTGCCACCCAGCGACGAATGGCGGCCCTAGATCCACGTCATTTGTTGCAGTTCAGGTAGGAGTAACACGAGGAGGCGGGGAGGGCAGCGCGGCGGGCAGCGACCCTCCGGAGACGAGCCGAGAGGGTCTCTGGCGAGCAGCAGCACCCCACCCCGGCCGGAGCGCCCAGGGGGTAGGCAGCCCATCCTACGCCAGTGTCGGCTTGGTGGGCTCCTGACAAATCATCTCGACAACATCTCCTTGGCCCGCGAACGCGAGGCTCCCCGCACGAAGTCGCCCCCGCCGTCGGGGAAGTCACGGCGCTGCGGCCACGCGGTGCCCTCGGCAGTGTCGCCAACAGACGGCCGTTCCATTTTAGCACGCGCAGTTGGCCGCCCTGCCGGCCGGCGCTCGGCTGGCGCGGGGCGCGCGTATACCAGCGCGCAAACATGCACTCCAATCCCTTTTCCCACGGAAGAAAGCGGTCCCGTCGTATACCTCGGCGTCCCCAAATGGAACGGCCACATTAGCAGAGCCCGCCACGACCGGGGCCCCTCGCCCCGCCCCGCCGCGCCCCGCCCAGCTCTCCCCGGGGCACATATAAAACGATGAGGGCGACGGGCGTTTCTGCCCGGTGCACAAGCTGCATGCAGTGCCGGCCATAACTTTAAAACAGCCCCGACAGCCCCGCCGCCTGCCGTGGCCTGCCCGCCGATATTGCACTTGCTGACCGACTACGCTCCTACACTGGCGGCGCCGCGTTGCTGTGCGTTGCTCTCTTTCCGTTCCACTCGGCGGAGCGAACGTCCTGGGATTGGCTCTCTCTTGTTTACGAGTGGCGATACAGCGCCTGCGTCCGAGCCGCGCCGCCGCCGTCGCGCCCCTAACGCCGCGCGGGGCCACGCCTGCGGACTGAGTCCTTTCCGTCGCTCTGTCTCTCTCGCACCCATGCAGCACGCCCCATGAGCGCGAGAGAGACAGAGCGACGAAAGCGACTCTCGGAATGAGTCTGCTGGACGCGCCGCGGACGCAGCCGCGCCGTCGCCAATTATATTTTCCCTCGGCGTCGCTTCCGGCCTGCCGGCCTTCCGGCGCCCTGCCCGCCAATTTCCGATGCGCCACTGTAAGTTATCCCGTTTTTGCCGGACAAGTGGCGGCGGGGCAATCTCGAGCACGTCTGTCGCCCGGTGGGTAGGCAACCCTTCTGTCTCGGTGGCGCACCGCCCGGAGGGCAGGCAACCCAACTCACTGTCCGTGCTGCACCCGCCGGGTAGGCAACCCTTCCGTCTCGGCGACGCACCGCCCGGAGGGCAGGCAACCCAAGAGCCTCTCTGCGGCAGCGCCGCCCGCCAGGTAGGCAACCCTTCCTTCGCAGTGGACAGCACCCCTTTTGCTCTGACCTCCGCCGGCTGGGTAGGCACCCTTTCTGTTTCCATGTGAGCAACGGGTGGGGCACCCTTTGCACTCGTCGACAGACACCCGATCGCTCGAAATCGATCGATTCCAACGCGATCGTCGCGTGGAGCACCGGCGGTGGCCGACGCACAAAAAATTCACCTCGATGCCATCGTTACACTACACCGTGCGTTCCCCATGACGTAGCGCGTCACTTCGTCATCGCGTCCCTCCCTCCCCTCCTCGACTCCACGCGGCGCGAGCGCGGTTTCCCGCCACGCGAGCCGCGGCGCCGCGGCCGCTGTAGAGTGCTGCCCTCGCGGCGGCGGGGAGGGGAACTGCATCGCTTGCATCGCGTGCATCGCGGCCCGACTGACGCACGGCGCGCGCTGCATCGCGCGTCGCGGGTGGGACGGAGAGCGCGCCGCGGAGAGAGAGAGAGAGCGGCCGCTCGACGGCCACCTCAGCAGAACGCGCCGTGGCGCCACGGGTCTCTCGCCGTCGTCTGGACGGACCATCGCGGCGTCTCTCCGAACGCACCTCGCCAAAAACGAGTGCCCGGACCGCCGACTCCGCCATCCGCGGGTCAAAATAGCACCGGCTGTCGGGGTGTTGGCCCCGGAGCCCCTTCCGCGCATGCCACGCGCAATCTGTTAGCGGTCTCTCTCGCACGCACTGAGACAGCGCCGCGAAACGATTCGCCGGAATCGCCCGTCGGGGTCGACACACCTCGCGCGGCTTTGGGGAGAGCATGAGGTGACGATGTCCATGTCCGCGGCGCGGCACTGCGCAGCACGGAGTGCAACAGTGTGGGCGCAGAACGGACACAGTCGGGGAAACTGGTTCCCTGTCCGATTCAGAGGTCAGCCCGGGCCTAATGGCTCTGCCCGGTCGCTACACCCACAAGTCACACACGCACCACTGTACACACACTCACACACGCGCGCCCGCCAGAGCACACACAGGCACACTTTTACACGCGGAGGAGGCTCGATACATTATTCATACGCATGCGTTCTACTTGGCGCGACCAATGGTGTAACTTATTGCTCCCGGCGGCGATTAGGGGCCGTTCCGTTCCGAGTCTCTCGAGTTGTTCTCGGCCGCAACAAGTTCAACAAAGTCGCTGTTTTTTTTTTTTCGAAATGCGTTGAAGACGACACATTTCGGTTTGTTTGAATTTGTTGACGGTCCATCGCCGTCGGCGCGGCAGCCGATGTGAGGCAGTCGTCACGACCACTCGGCTAACCTTCGAACGAAGCTGGGGCGCTGGAGCGCTGTCGTCCGGTGACGACCGGGGAGGGGGGGGGGGAGGGAAGTCGCCGCTGCCTGTCCTTCCCCTTCCCGCCCCGGGATGCGCTCTGCGTGCTCTGCACGGTGGCGCCCCCACGGCCGTCGCTGGAAGCGCTCCGTGGCTCCGCGGTGGAGGGGGTGGTGCTGCACCTCCCCGTGCAGGCCGCGGCCGTGCCGCCACGCCACGCACGCCGCGCCAGTGGAGTTGTAGAGCTGGTGCCTGTCGGTCGGACGAGGGGAGTCGCGTCAGTCTGTGTCGAGTCGCGTTGGGGTGCGTTGGTTAGTCCGTAGTCAGTGAGTCAGTCTCGTGAGTGCTGAGCCGGACTAGCCGACGAGTTCGCAGTGACTGTGTTGAGTGCTTCGTGCTGTGCAGTGCTGTGCTGCCGCCTCTGGATTTCCCCCTCAGTGAAAAAAAGTGATTTCGGACTTGTCGCCGTGTTTCGCGACGTGGAAAAACTTGCGTTTTCAAAATTGTCTCGTTCGGCGTGACGATTCTTGAAGCGACATGGCCATCCCGTTCCAACTGCCGCGGTGCGACGAGAACCCCGACGACATCCAGGACCTGGATCGCCTCCTCGGCGACCTGTTCGTCGTCCTTGCGCGCATCCTGGCGCAGCGCGGCCAGGCGGCGTCCGTGGCCACCCTGAACGCCGGCCGGGGCGCCGTCACCATCCGCAGGCCCTCCAGGCAGCTCCGCCTGCAGGTCCACGACACCGAGGTCGACCTGGAGGTGTCCTCCGAGGAGTCTTCCTCTTCCGACACTGGTGAGTACTCGATGTGCTTTGGGTAGCCCGTTGCGAGAGGTCCTTCGAACTTCGAGTTCGACTTGGACGCGTTTCCCGACTGGAGCCGTGAGGGGACTTGGCGTCGTGCGCACCTCGGTACTTCCCCGAAAAAAAAATTAGTGAATTTTAAAATTTTTCCGTAACTCAACACAGTATTATTGTTTTCTAAAAACTGGAACTAAATTAAAAATTTGGTAAAAAAAAAACTTTGAAAATTTTTGAAACTTGTCCAAGTCCGACAAGTCTTGACTTGCAGTACGTACGTACTCGCAACGTAAATGGACATGAAAACAGTTCAAAGTTTAGAAACTGAGTTTCTTGTCCAACAGTGGTCTCTAACATGCTCAAAAACATTTATCATACGAAAAATAATTTTCTTTTTGAATTCGGACTCGGACTTGTGTCATTGTTGACGGACTTGTGACTGGCGACTCGCGTACCGGAAACACGCGCTTAGCTTGTGTTTGCCCGTCCTGATACAACTTCTAGGTGGGATGGGTAAACGCAACGCGTTTTAGGACGACTTTTAAAAATGTTTCGTTTCCAAATTGTGTGGTGGGAGTAGTGTGGGACTTGTACGGTGAAAAATTTCGTGGTCAGTGTTGAGTGACTGCAGTGAGTGTGCAGTGAGTGTGAAGTGAGTCGTTTGCGAGCGTTTTGCCTTTCGGGACTTGGCGTGCCGCACATCGCGCTCCGGCTCGTCGTTCCGCGCTCCGGCAGTGTCGGCACCGCGCCCAACCCGGAGCTTTTGCCGGCGCCGCCACCGGGCGAGCACTGCTGGCGTTGTTTCCGGCGCGCGGCGCGGCTCCGCGTCGGTCCGGGCGTGGCTGGCGCGGCCCGCGGTGCCGCGTCGCGGTGGAGCCGAGCCGAGCCGGGCGGTCCGGGGTTCGACCCTCAGCAGTGCAGTCCGCGGCGCGCTTGGGTGCGCGGCCGCTAGAGCGCGCCTCTGTCGTCGCGGCGGCGTCACCACGCTACGCGACGCTACGCTACGCCACCGCAGCCGAGCCTGACCGCGCCCTTCTTGTTGTGTCCACAGACAGCTCCGCGCCGCCGTCGCCCACCTCGCCGACGGCGCCCATGCCCATCCCGGACCTGGTGTCCAACCTGCCCGTCCAGGCCGCCGCCGCCGACGCCCCGCAGGAGCAGGCCGAGAACGCCGAGGGCCAGCCGCCGCGCACCGTGGCGTCCGTGGCCGTGCGCTCCCGCACCAGGAAGCCGCGCTCCTCGCCCAGGAAGGCCCGCAGCCCCAAGGGGGCTCGCGGCAAGCGCGCGCTCACCGGCACCTCCCCTGCCAAAGGTGCGTCTTAAACTCATCTCTTCAATTTACACACTTCTTTCCGACTCTGTAGGTCACTCCGTTCTAACTTGTGCCTGTTCTTCCCTTGCAGAGCTGACGAGGACGCCGTCAACACGGGCACCCAAAGCCTCGCCCACAGTGTGCTGAGCACCACTTGAAGGGCAGTGTACATAGCAGTCATGTCGATCGCTTTGAAATGTTTAATATAATTATTATATTAGTAGAGTTATTGTATCTCGAATAGGCTGGCGCCCTGATTCTGTCTTCTGACGCAATATTTATTTTTAAGTACTTCGTGGCCAAAAAATTATAGTTGTGTTATTTTTGGATCTCCTTTGATATAAATGCCATTTTTAATCGATCTTTTTTACGAAACCAAAGCCTATTTTAATATTAAATTTGATGGAAATTTGTCGAAGACCGGGGCCAGGGCGCCGACGATATGAAGCCGCCATCTGGCTATGGTGCTGTGATATGGGTCTGTGGTGAAGTGCCTCACCAGTAGATCTCAAACGCCGGGAGAGGACTGGCCCATACTTTCTGAAACAGCCTGGAGTTCGTGCACCGCCCACTTGCGCGTTGCAAATGGACAGCGAGTGCGCGGAAGTTCCACGCGTTGCTCTACTTACAGTGTACATGGGCCGCTCCTCTTCCCAACCCGTGCCGGGCCGCCACTGCCACGGCCTTGTGCTGCCATTTTCAAAACGGCGACTCAAGCTTCCCTTGAGTCGCCGCCTTTTTAAAGTGGCGGCACAGGGCGCCAGTCCCGCGGCGGCCGGCGCGAGCAAAGCCAGCAAGCTGTGATGTTAAGTTTCGATTGAGAGCCGATGAGAAACACGTTGTCCAAATGATCTCATTCAATAGTCAAGTCACTTCCCGCAGTGTGTGATTCAACTCTCCAAATGATCTCTGAGTAACACGCAGTCAGCAAACTATCTCTCTCTTGACATAAATGAAAGTTGGACGGATCTGTGATAAGCCGTTTTCCATCGTTGTTCTCTTCCACCTCACACTCTTCTCTGCGACACGGCGTCTTCATATAAACTGTCGTTTCATTCAAGTTTTTCTTTTCTTTTCCCCTTTTGGTTTTGCATTATCTCAGTTCGAGGGGCTTTCGCTGAAGTGCCCAAGACACCTTCATCAAAGCTGTATATGTGATCTCAAATGTTTTTAATTAATTTTAAGTTTGTAAATAGGTTTGTACATTTTTGTATCATTGCAGACTTGATCTTAGGCGAAAATGACGATCGGAATAGATACAATGCAATTCAACACATAAGATTTTATATAACTTTTACTATGCCAAGGTTTATATTCCTTCAAAAGAAGTATCGAAACTTGAAGACTGGATATGTGTTCTGGCGTAAATTATCGCGATTACAAGTAGAAATGCTGCCAATTTTAGACCAAGCTTTAGATCTCTTGTAATCAGCTCATTGTGCATTAAAGTTGATTCCTGTGAACTCTTTCAAGTTTGCCATATATTTATTTTGAAATGAAATTGACAACTTCAATGACTTTGTCCATGAAAGATGTGTCAATATTTTCTAACACCTAGACAAATTTTAGTTTGTATCTTATGTTTGTTTATGCTTTCGTTTTCTTTAATTTTAGCTCATGTCATTTTTTGTATGGTTTTAGTCAATCGAGGCAACAATATTTTGCGGCCTAACTTTTTTTTTCATTTTATTTTATATAGAGTCAGTGTGTGTTTACAGTTTTGTATTGTACTATAGACGTCTCATCTTACCCGCTATGTCTTTCATTTTGTATAAAGAACCACTGTTTGTATGCATGAAACTGAAAAAGCAATTGGTTTTAATAAAACACAAATATACTTAAACTCCTGTGTTATCGTTACTGATTTTCCGAAACATCACCCACGCACGAAAACAGAAAAAAGATAACTTCAAAGAAAAAAAAACGAAAAAAACAAAAAAAAAACAACAAGAACAGAAAAGCAACAAAGTAGCGACCTCAGGTCTTGCTTACAGCACAATTCAATTAAATCTGTCCAGGGTGTGGCCGAGGCGCTGTGCTCTATGGCCTTGTGACGAGGACTAATGCCATGTCGCCTGCGCTAATCACTTCCATTCCCGATACAAATGGCACCTAACCTCGCCCCTCGGCGTGCTTTCTGGCTGCTTTCTGGCTGCCTTCCGGCCGCATCGGCTTAATAATATTTGGCTGCGGAGAGAGAGGCACTGCCATTCTTTTCCCCGCGGCAGCAAGAAGAAGGGCCCCGAAATCTGGTCCAGCCCGAATAATGGGCTAAGGGGGACATTCGAGCCACGCGGCACGAGCTTTCCGGAAAAGCTGTCTGGCTAGGAAATTTCAGGGCGGTGCCACAGCTCGCTCGTAGGGCGAGGGCGAATAGCTAGCACAGCCACCAGGCGTAACTATTAACGTCCACGTCTCCTTCCGACAAATGCGCGCGGACGAGTCCTCAAGAAGAATAATCACAGAGTCGTCATTTCTGACGGCAATTTTTCCTAATGTAGGGTCGGGATGAGAAAGTCGGCCCGGTCGGGTCCCCGCCCCGGCGCACCGTGCTCAGCGCGTCACAAAAATTAAACTCAACCGCCGTGATGAGCGGCGCGCGACTGTTGGCGCGCGTGCTGCGTCGGGACAATAATTCGTTACTTCGATGTATCGATTCATCAATACCGGAAGGCTACCCTTTCGAGGCGCGCCATTCAAGAACCTTTTTGCACACAAAAGCGGCAACAAAACGGTCACAACGAACGACATGAATATGCAACTCTGATAATGACGCCGCGGGTGTCGCCTTGTCTTTGTCTACGTCGCAATAATTCTGCAAGTCAAGTCTCTCTCTGTCACCCCTTTGGCGGGGCGTCGCCGCGTGCCCAGTGGGCTGCTGCGGAGCAGACGGCGGACCCGAACAGAGTCCGTCTCTCTCGCTCCCCTTCGTGGCGCGCTTGCGTGCGAGAGAGACAGAGACAGAACCTCTCGCTGGAGGAGATCGACCGACTGTGGAGAATAAATTTTGCACCGTCACTTAGCAGTCACCTGACTGCCGCATATTGTATGTATTGACGGCCCAGCCTGGCGGGGCGGCGGGGCGTTCGGCTTGATTGGCTCGAAAAGGGGAAGGCACGCACACACACACACACACACACACACCAAGGCACGCACGCACGTACCGTGAAGGGGTGAATATGGCGTTCGAATGACGCTGTGGTTGTTATCATCCACTCGTTTAGAACCTCTGTCGTCCGTCTGTCGCCCCTGACTCTCCGCACTCAAGACTCAGTTCCAAAAGCCGCTGACCCAGTGGCCGAAAAGCGCAAGCAGTATGATGCTGCTAAAAAAAAAAAGTAGCCATGGAACCTCTCGAAAAGCTTCACGTTATTGAGTGTTTTTTTTTTCGCGTCTGTAGCATTGTAAAGTACTGCATAGTGTGTGTGTACGCATGTGCAGTGGACCAGCAGCGGCGCAGCCAGATGCTAGAAAGGGGTAAACAGCGTGCGTGCGCCAATAATGACGCATCATGCAGATCGACATGAAAGCGATGATGCACGGATCGATATGCATGATTGGCTGCGTTTTGTTGTTTCCTTGTTGCCAAGCTTCCGCGCACGCGCGGTCAAGGTATTATCCTTTTCATATTTTTTTTTCCTTTCGATCTTTGCGAGGACGGATTTCGGTGTTGGGGGATGACGCTATGATGCGGGGATGAAGAGTGGCACCCCTCCGTCGGCGAGCCCCCAAAAGCCCTCCGTCCTGACCTCAGATCGCTCTTAATAAAGGGGTCGCCGTTTAACCCCCTGGCTCGCGGACGGGGGACGGTGACCCAGAACAGAATGCCGACGAAGAGGACGCCGACGAAGAGGACGCCGACGACGAGAGGACGCCGACGAGGACGCCGACGCATAGGGCTCAGGAAAAAGAGGCCAGCGCAACCTGCAAGTAACGGTAATCAATTTGCATGGAACCTAGCGGCCGTCTACGAGCGTGGCGTAGCGTGGCGTAGCGTACCCCCGTGCAGCGTCATGGACACCTGTGCGCGCTGGCTCGGTGTAGCGTCGGCAAATCGATCCCCTCTTGTTGCGTCCGGTCTTCCCTTCCCCCTTCTTGGTTCTTGCAAGTTCGGACGAGTGGGTGCGGCCTTCCCTCCCTTCCGAGTGACTCACGCACCGCGCTGCGGGCCCTGCCATGCCAGGCCATGCCAGGCCCTGCGGGCTGCGGGTCGCTGGCGCCGCCTGCCCTCTGGCGGCGCTCTTCGGAACCAGAAAATGGCGCGACGCCGCCGCGCCGCCACCACGCGGCCCGCCTGCATGGCGTCGTCCACGCGGACGCACGCGGACGCACGCGGACCACGCGGAGGGAGGGGTGCGGCGAGCACCGCGTCGCTTGGCGTGGTGATCGGGCGAAGACAAGCAGTGCATCGGCACAGTCAATTTTACTAACAAAAAACTTTTAACAAATTTGAAAAATAATCTTGCATCAAACTTCACAAAAAACTGTAATTAAATGTTGGCGGCTGAGTAATTGTTTCCAATTTTCTGGAATCCGGTCCGTAATACTCTTAGCCGAAACTGCCGATCGTCATGTCAGCTGTTGCACGGCGCGGCGCGCGGCCCGCGAGGCGCCACCGCCATAAACCCGCGGCGCCACGCGACGACGGCGACGCGCCCGATCGCCCGCATAAATCGCGACTGCGGAGTCTTTTCGTCGCTCTGTCTCTCTTGCGCCCATAGGCAACGGCCCGTGAGTGCGAGAGAGACAGAGCGATGAAGACGACTCTGCTGGCGTCGTCCGTCTCGGCCCGTCTCGCCCCGTCCCGCCCCGCGGCCCCGCGGCCCCGCGAACACATACATACTACTTTGTCGACAGCCAATCCCATTAATGTTCGGTAACTCGAGTCGCCGGCCAAGGAGGCCCCCTTCGCTGTGCAGTGTGCTGTCAGCCTCCCGGCAGGTCGCTCCTCTGCCCGTTCGGCCCAGGGCTAATCCCGCGGGAGGGGCGCGAACAGGGACTTGCCCAGGCTCGGACCGGCCAGGGCAGACAGGCAGAAAAATCTGCCGGGGCCTTCGGGTTTGGGACCAGTAACGTCACAAAGTTGGTCAAAAAGTGATTGAATCTCCGAAAGTTACCGTTTTCGCTGAATTTGAGCGGTCACTGCGTCCGATCAAGTTGCGGCCAACGGCCTCCCTCGACGCCCTAGTATTCTTAAGACCCTACTCTTTCATGCCCTGTATCGGGAAGACATTGACCACAACGATTTTGCCTTTGACCGCAACGATTTTCCGACCAAGTTGGTCAAAAAGTGGTCGAATCTCGGAAATTTGCTGATTTTGCTGACTTTGGGTGGCCACTGTGTCCAATCTAGCTGCCGTAAAAGGCCTCCCTCGACGCCCTAGTATTCTTAAGACCCTACTCTTTCATGCCCTGTATCGGGAAGACGTTGACCACAACGATTTTGCCTTTGACCGCAACGATTTTGGGACCAAAGTTGGTCAAAAAGTGGTCGAATCTCGGAAATTTGCTGATTTTGCTGACTTTGGGTGGCCACTGTGTCCAATCTAGTTGCCGTAAAAGGCCTCCCTCGACGCCCTAGTATTCTTAAGACCCTACTCTTTCATGCCCTGTATCGGGAAGACGTTGACCACAACGATTTTGCCTTTGACCGCAACGATTTTGGGACCAAAGTTGGTCAAAAAGTGGTCGAATCTCGGAAATTTGCTGATTTTGCTGACTTTGGGTGGCCACTGTGTCCAATCTAGTTGCCGTAAAAGGCCTCCCTCGACGCCCTAGTATTCTTAAGACCCTACTCTTTCATGCCCTGTATCGGGAAGACGTTGACCACAACGATTTTGCCTTTGACCGCAACGATTTTCCGACCAAGTTGGTCAAAAAGTGGTCGAATCTCGGAAATTTGCTGTCTTATCCGCCGGGGCCTTTTGGGGCCAGTCCGTGTCTGGCCGTGCCAGTGTAGTGGACGCGGTGAGGCGCTACAGTCCGAGCATTGAGAAGCGCTGCATCGCCATGGAAGCGGATGCACTATGAATGTGCCATGCGTCGTCCTGGCCGGAGACACATGTGGGTCGCGTCACTCAAGGCGCAAGGGCGCTTTGGAAGGGTCTTTGCGTCGCTCTGTCTCTGCCGCACCCGCGTGGCTCCCCGTAAGGGTGCGAGAGAGACAGTCTCGGCGGGCCGGCCCTGGCCCTGGGACCGCATTACTGCACTGCCATGATGCACTCGAAGACGTATTGAAGGTCGCCGGACGTCCGGATTTTCGCTGGGCAGCGCGTACTGGCGCGTGCTCTCGTGCCCCCCGTCGTCGCGGCGCACAGCACAGCACAGTGCCGTGACTCAGCAGGCCGCCGCCAGAGTGCGCTGCTGCTTGCTGCCGTCGATGCGACGGTGCAGTGTGCAGTACAGTACCGCGCGTTAGTGGTACAGTAAGCCCTGGCCTTGGACGCGCCACTGCGTTTCCTGCCGTGCCGCCGCCGTGCCGCCGTGCCCGTCCACTGCGCCGCAAAGTCAAGGATGGCGTGCTCCACGTGGACGGCCTGGACGGCCACCACGCACACAGTGGGCCAGAAGACTGAGGCGGTCAAGATCCCGGAGTCGCTAAGTGACGCTCGAACCGAACGTGTGACCCCACCAATGGATTGCTCTCCGAAAGAGGATTTTTGGCCGCTGACTGCGACGGACTGCCCACACGGGTTGCCAACTTGACTTTCCCATCATGGAGCTCGCCGTGAACCGAGCCGCTTGGCCACACTGGACGAACTGTCCACCTTCACGCCGTTTTATCCGCGAAGTTGCTGCCTCACACACACACGCACACCGACTCACGCAGACAGTAGCCGCGCT